CCTTTTCACTCTTTAAATTTAGAACCAAACCTATCCCCTAACATCACCGTTTAGTGAAATATCAGGTGTTATTGTTATTTTTAGGTGCCTTTGAGTCAATTAAAAGGAGCTCTGGTGGCATAGTGTTGGGTGGCTAACCACCAGGTCAGCAGTTTGAAACCACCAGCCACTCCTCAGGAGAAATATACGTTCTACTCTTATAAAGAGTTTATAGTCCCAGAAACCCACAGGGGCAGTTCTACTTTGTCTTCTAAGGTTACCTCTAAGGTCCAACTCTAAGGGTGGAATCAACCAGGTGGCAGTGAGTTTGGCTTATTTTATTTTATTTTTCGGTTTTTAGTCACTTACCCCTCGTGGTGACCTTATGTACACCAGAATAAAGCACTCTCCAGTCCTCTGTCACCCACACACTTTTGGCTCTGCTTGAACTCGTTCTTCCACCGCTGTATTGATCTATCTCATGGAAGATCTTCCTCTCTTTCTCTGCCCCTCCATTTTATCAAGCTTGATGTCCTTCTCCAGGGACTGGTCCCTTCTGAAAACATGGCATATATACTCGAGTATAAGCCGACCCGAATACAAGCCGAGACACCTAATTTTACCACAAAAATTGCATTTAAAATGTGCTGGAAGCGTCGACTTATACATGAATATGTACGGTATGTGAGACCAAGTCTTGTCATAATGATTTCCAAGGACCACGGTGGATGCTCTTCTTCTAAGATGGGTTTGTTGGTTCTTTTGACAATCTGTGGTATGTGAAATACTGTTTATGCCAACACCGTAACTCAAACGCATCAATTCTTCTATGGGTTGCCTTAGTCATTGTCCAGATGGACATATGAAATGATTGAAAATATGAGGGGGTTTCAAAAATGTTATTCAAAAAAATTGCATGTTTGTGTAATTCCATTTTCCCAGGAATATTTTGATGACCCCTTGTGCCATGGCTTGGGAAAGGAGCAATTACTCTTCAAAGTGACATCGTTGTTTCTTTTAACAAATTAAAAATATCTTTTGGAGCACATTTGCCTAATGTAAATAATTTGATTTCTTGACCAATATTTCCATGGGCACTGATTGTGGATCCAAGTAAAATGAAATCCTTGATAACTTGTTTTTCCATTTAGCATTATATTTCATATTAGTTAGCCATGAGGAATTTGTTTCTTTTTTTTCTTTCTTTTTTTAATCATTTTATTGGGACTCACTTAACTCTTATCACAATCCATACTTCCATCCATCATGTCAAGCATATTTGTTTTGTTTTAAATCATTTTTTGGGGGGGCTCATACAACT